GAGAGAGAGAGATTTTTTGGAGATGAGTTGCTATTTGTATAAAGTGTTTAAACACATTTATCTTCTGAATAACTGGGGTGCGATTAAGGGGAGCCAAATCTCCATATGTAGGTTAATTGATTTGCATTTCCCTGATCTTGTTGAGCATCCAATAACAAATGCATTATCATATGGAAATTGCTTTATTTATTTAGGTCCATTGCCAAGATAACCTTACTGTCTTCTTTAGAAAAGTTTCTGTTCAAGTCCTTTGCCACTTTTTAATGGGGTTATTTGATTTTTTCTTCCTGATTTCTCGTGAGTTCTAAGTATATTCTAGTTATCAGTCCCTTATCGGATGCATAGGATGCAAAAATTTTCTCCCATTCTGTAGGTTGTCTGTTTACTTTCATGACTATTTCTTTGGCTGTGAAGAAGCTTTGTAGTTTGATCCATGTCCATTTATTTATTTTTGTTGCTGCTGTGATTGCCTTTGGGACTTCTTCATAAACTCTTTGCCCAGGCCGATGTCTAGGAGAGTGTTTCCAACTTTTTCCTCTAGAGTTCTAATAGTTTTCATACCTTAGGTTTAAGTCTGTTATCCAGCGTGAGTTGGTGTTTTAATGCAAAATACTTTCAAATCATATCACCATTGTTTCTTAAAGCTGAATAGTACTCTATGGTATACATATACCATATTTTATTAATCCACTCATGTATTGATGAGCATTTGGGTTGTTTCCACGACTTTGGAACTGTGAACTGTATTCTATAAACATTTGAGTGCAGGTGTTTTGTTTTTTTTTTATAGAGTGTCATTTGATCTTTTGTGTAGGTGCCCAGTAGTGGGATTGCTGGATCAAGCAAATCTATTGCTGGTAGATTTGCTTGTATCTCTTTAGGGTATCTCCATATTGCTTTCCACAGAGGTTGAAATAGTTTGCAGTCCCACCAACAGTGTAGGAGTGTTCTTATCTCTCCACATCCACACCAACATTTATTGTTTGGACTTTTTGATAAAGGCCATTCTTACTGGAGATAAGTGATATCTCAATGCAGTTTTGATTTGCATTTTCCTGATGATTAGAAATGTTGAGCATTTTTTCATATGTTTTTTGGCCATTATACTGTCTTCTTTTGAAAAATTTCTGTTCTTTTCCTTTGCCCACTTTTTGATAGGGTTGTTTGATTTTTCCTTGCTGATTTTCCTGAGTTCTAAATAGGTTCTTGTTATTGGCCCCTTATCGGATATGTAGCTTGCGAAAATTTTCTCCCATTCTGTGGGTTGTCTGTTTGCTCTCTTAACAGTTTCATTGGATGTGCTGAAGCTTTTTAATTTGATCAGGTCCCTTTTGTTTATTTTTGTTGCTGCTGTGATTGCCTTTGGGGTCTTCTTTATTAATTCTTTGCCTAGGCCAATGTCTAGAAGAGTATTTCCAATGTTTTCTTCTTGAATTCTAGTAGTTTCACACCTATGGTACAAGTCTGTTTCTTTCTTCAAGCCACGTGTCTGAAAGTGCCAATGTAACTTTAGTTTTATTCCTGTACTATCTCCTGCTAGTCCAGGGTATAGAGTTTCTATTGTGACATGAAGTGTGCTTAACAATTAGACAATTGCATTAACCTATATTAAGACCCTATGCAATAGTGGTTTCTTTGAGACCTTGACAAGTTATTTCAATATCTTGGGGTGGGTATATACATACATGAATGAGTGGAGTGGCACCATCTGGGGGATGGCCACGCTTGAAGCTCAGACTTAGGGGCGAGGGTGGAGCAATGGATTATACACAACCTTAAAATTTGTACCCCATAATATGGTGAATAAAAAAAAAATCTTGGTCTTAATATCCAGATATACGGTTACAATATTTACCTAACATTGCCTTTTTAAAGATAAAAGTAAACAATTATTTACAATTTTTTCAATTATAAGATATTATTAAACTCCTTGCTACTTCATTAAAGAAGGAAGTTAAAGCTATGCAGTTATCCTAGAAAAATTGAATCAATCATTTAATATAGATGCCATTTTTTATCTGACTAAAATGGAAGAGGAGGATAAAAACATTTCTCTCATTTCAACACTGTATTAAAACTGAAACCCCCTTGTATTGGGAAGGATATGATATATTATGGTTTCTCTTTTTTTTTTACCTAGAAAGGACATAAATTATCATTTGAGACCTACTTATTTTCAAGCACTGTGAAAACATACAACAAAAAGGAAAAGTCGTTTTAAATCCCTTTCCACAGAAACATATGATTACATAAATCTCTCTAATATCTGATTATCAGATGAAGAGAGAATTAGATACAGCTCAAAATACTTAAAAGACTATTTTTATTCCTTGGAAACGTCTGATATAAATAAAGCCCTCAGAGAAAGGTCTGATTCTGAAAAACACTTGACCTTGAAGTAGCTAGCTTATTTGTTAAGAAGTTGTTCCCTGGGATGTATTCTATCAGGTTTTATTGTCGAACTCTGTGCTGTGTGAGTAACAGTCACACAGAACTTGACTCTCATGGCCAGAATTTTGTAAAGAAATTGACTTTGTATGACGTCACCATTCCAAGATCACTTTCAAGTATATTCAGGTGGGAGACATGAATTAAGATATGGTTGGGGAAATTTGATCACTGAGTAGGAATAAAATGTTATTAACTGTCAAGTAAGCATTTGAAAGGTATACATGATTTACTTGAGGAGCAAAGAATACATCAGAGTTCTAAATTTAATTATTTTTAGTATTCTATCCAAAGATAGTCTGTATAGAGAATTCCAAAAGAGAAAAGCAAGAAGTATAGTTGACTTGGGTCTTTAAGACAGGATCAATAAGCATGTAACTAAAAAGAGGAAAACACATTGTGAAAAAATGCAATTTATGGTCTTTTCCCATAAACTTAACTTGTGGAAAACTTACTAAAGTTTGTTTTGCATAGCAATGAACATATTTCTGTCTTAAACTGCATTTTGTTAGTTTTTCAACGATAAAAGATGAAAAAATAAACTTTTTAAAAATATGAATTTTGAACATCTTTGCTTTGGAATAATGAATCAGAATGAAGATGATAGATAGCAAAGTTGACATTTAT